AAGCTAGAGAACGCGGAGCGTTGCTTAGACTCGGCGAACAAACAAGAATATACATGGTCGGAGTTGAGGAAATACCTCCTCTGGTTTGTCTTTTCCTGGTTGGTAGTCGCCGTGTTTTCTGACACTGACCAAATGACTAGCTGGATGGGCGGTCACCATCTCTCCGATGTCATAGGTCACAAAGAAACAATCCGCATCCATGACCTCATGAAATGGGATAATGCCTTAGGCAAGTTCTTCGTCTTTAAGTCTCATGTCTTCAACGAGACTAGTCAAGACAAGACTATTATAGGTGCGACCAAGTGCGTACCTGAAGGTGGTTACGCGCCAGTGAACGCAACATGGCTAGGGACCGCTGACTACATAACTACTCGCACGCGACTATTCGTTTGGAACCACACGCCTATAGTCTGCCTTGCTTGTATGTTGGGATTTGTCGCGTGTTTCCTGGCCCTGAAGAGTGCTGACGCTACCAAACGAGTCTTTTTGGCGGAAAAGATAGAAGCCACGCTTGTGCTGAAGGCCATTAGGGAGGGAGAAAACATAAAAGGCAAAAAGTCGGATTACATCTCTCGGGTAGTGGACGAGGTGCTGCGCAACATGGAGTAAGGGTGGCTCGGGGAGCGATGAGCTACAGTTAATAATGGATACAGATATTCTGAAGCAAACGGAAAAGAACCGCAGTTTGAACACCACAGGTTGGTTCCCTCTGTCGCGTTACCCTCACACCTGATCTATATATGTGTGTAAAACAGAATAAATATGAAGTAGATAAAGAAATAACCGAGTGGAGACGTAATATTTTTCTTCTTCTGTTTATTCATGAATTTTTTAAAAAAAATTAATACGAAACCTTAAAGGTTTGATGAAGCAATTGTCTCATCCTCGAGGTTAGAGTTTTCAGTTCACCTTCCAATGTTTTTAAAAAAAAAAAAAAAAATGAAAGACAAACTAATATCTGTTGGTATTCCCGCAGTACGGAGGGTGATTACATTGCACGACTCTTGTCAAAAGTCGGTGGAAATCGCCTGGTCCCCAATTTTGAAAATGGACCCGGGGCCCGGGAATAAGTGTGATTTCCCCGCTCCATTTTTTGGATGTAGCATGAACAATGGAGGTGGACAATTTATACTCTAAAACACCCGTCACCCGAAATTTTCCCGCTCAATTTTACATCATTGGTAACGTAATAGCATGAAAACATTGTTGGTAAATTGTCATGGCCATTTCTCCGTATCATATGTGTCACCATCTGTGACACATCCATCCGGCGGCAGTCTCCTTCCGCGCTTGTATCGGCTTCCGGGTCTGCCCGTAAGGCAGCCCCGAGTCGCCTCTCTCAGTCAGTCGTCGAGTACAGCTTCGTCAGTGCACCACTCTTGTGTTCTTTCTTTCCCGCTCCTCGATTGCTCCCCTAGCCAAAGGCTTGGGTCACCACAGTTGGCGACGAGTAAAACGGTTATACGCGTGCGAACACACTCGCGATACCCCGTCACAACAATTTTTCGCGTGCAAACTCGCGTAAAAATTAAATTTTCCAAGTGCTTTCGTTCACGCGACTGTCATCTGTGCTACTCACCATGGACGCGCAGCAACTCAAAACCCTCCTTGAGAACTTTCAGGAAAACCAGACCAAAGTGCTCAGACAAATCCAGGAATCTGCAGACAACAAGCAAAGTGAGTTAGTTCAGCAATTTAAAGAAATGACAGCCAGCATGCAGTCTAGTTCATCAAAAGGGTTCCCAGGAATCCCGGGCTTGAGTAAATCTGACCTGATTACCCAATTTGAATCTTTCGACAAGAAAAAGGAACACTTCAAAAATTACAAGAAACGCTTCGAAAATTATCTGGCACTTAAAAATGTGGATCCATCTAAACCAGGCGATGAAGCACTAAGCAGAAATCTTTTACTGAATTCCATCGGCTCAGATAATTACGAAATGCTTGTTCCTTTATTGGCCCCTGTTGAACCTAGAAAAGCACCCTACAACGATATTATGGACAAATTGGAGCATTACCTAAGCCCACCCATAAACCCTATCGTTGCTAGACACAGATTCTTCAATACGAATCAAGAACCAAACCAAAGCATCAATGAATTTACAGGTTCACTGCAAAAAGCAGCGGTTGATTGCGATTTCACGTCCACATGCCCATGCAACAAGGACCTTGCTCCTTTCATGCTCGGCATACAACTCGTCCGCGGTGTTGCCGACTCGCGCACCCGAGAACATTTACTTCAAATGGACACTTCAACTACATTCAGTAAAATGGTTGAAAAAGCCCTAGCGCTTGAAGCATCAAAATTGAATGCTAAAGAAATCGCACCACAATACAAACCAGCCACGTCCTCCAGCGACATACATGCTTTCACACAGCAGAAAAAACCCTTTTTCAAAGGTAAGAAATACAACAATTCAGGAAAACAAAATTCCTCCAAGACAATTCCTTCAACGAAGCAAGAGAGCAACATCTTCAATCTCTACAATCCCAAAACCCTGGCGCCGTCCCTATTCGTCAAACTTTGGTGTTTCGACCATCCGTGGCAAAGTCTTTGCCACCAACAAACAACGTGGCCGCCAATACCCTCTACCTCGGAATCTCCTCAGTTCGTATTCACGATGAATCTTCTAGGATCTGAAGAGAAAATAGAGGTGATTAACACCGGGCCCGCCCCGAACCTCAAGGCTTCGTTACCATCGCCCTACGATCACGTGCAATCCTTTGTCATCCTGATCCTGGTCGCCCTGGCAATCTACTACCTCTACCGTCGCAGGCAACGTAAAATACAACAGAAACTACACCGACAGGTACAGAACTTGATATCCTTACACGTACCTGAAACTGAGATGACGGATGTACGCCCGGCTCCTAGGCAGCTGCAGCCGCAAGACCTCAAAATGAAGATGCCATCCATTTAAATCTGAAATTTAAAAAAAACTCAAAATCCATTAAAATTTTAATAAATACTTACCTTTCCTTTTTTTGGATACTTACCTTCTTTTCTGGATGAAATACTTACCTCATATATTGTTTCTCATATAATCATTCACTGTACGTAAATTCACTGGTGGTCACCCTTCAGGCGACCACAATTTTTTTCTTTTCTTCTCGATCTTCGATCTGTGGGGGAGACTGTCATGGCCATTTCTCCGTATCATATGTGTCACCATCTGTGACACATCCATCCGGCGGCAGTCTCCTTCCGCGCTTGTATCGGCTTCCGGGTCTGCCCGTAAGGCAGCCCCGAGTCGCCTCTCTCAGTCAGTCGTCGAGTACAGCTTCGTCAGTGCACCACTCTTGTGTTCTTTCTTTCCCGCTCCTCGATTGCTCCCCTAGCCAAAGGCTTGGGTCACCACATAAATCATTCAACACACGTAAATTAACCCCGATTTTTCTGCTCAATTTTACTAGACTGATAAGAAATAAGCTTACCCGTCACCCCCTGATAGGTAGTGACGTCACACCATGGCACCATGGTTACAAAATCATAGACGCTACCTCACCCGACACCCATCACCCGTAATTAATTCAAATTTACCCGCTCAATTTTACAACGTTGGTAACGCGTGACAGCATGAAAAGGCGGATGCCATTTTATACACTAAAATAGCCATCACCCGTAATTAATTCAAATTTTTCCGCTCAATTTTACAACGTTGGTAACGCGTCACAGCATGAAAAGACGACGGTTGCCATTTTATGGAGTAAATCACACATCACCCGTAATTAATTCACATTTTTCCGCTCAATTTTACAACGTTGGTAACGTCACAGCATGAAAACTTTGTTGTCAGATCATACACTAAAACATCCATCACCCATCAATTAATCACGATTTTCCTGCACAGTCTGACTACGCAGGTAACGTCTATACTTACCCCTGATAGTCACGCAACACGCTACCAGTTGCCCCTTGCTGGGTAGGCAATCTTTGTAGGTGCTCGTATATCCTCATTTCTATACTACTTCGGAGCACCCCTGTTTCTCGCTGAAATATCGAAAAAGGACCGGAGTGATGAAGGATGAAACGTGCGGTAAGACGGTGATCGAATTCTTGGGTCTGATGAGTAAGATGTACAACAGCAACAACAACAAAAAGATGCAGCTGATTCAAATTCTTCCTATTATTGAATCACATTTCCATGTCCGGGTCGGGAATCCCACCTCTCGACCCATCATGATTAATATTATGGGGCCCAACTATATGCAAGCATACACAGTCCGAACAACAACAAAGAGATGCAGCTGATTCAAATTCTTCCTATTATTGAATCACATTTCCATGTCTGGGTCGGGAATCCCACCTCTCGACCCATCATGATTAATATTATGGGGCCCAACTATATGCAAGAATACACAGTCCGGCGACTTGGGGAGGTTATATCCACCTGGATATCATCCAGGCCGGGGATGATAATCGTGGAAAATACTCCAGGGGGGTATAACCTCTCCAAGGAGGGGAGTGTATGTATGCTGCAATATTGGGCGACAGAGGGGGAGAGCAGTCTTTCCCTGGTATTGATGGGAGGATGATAAAATATCGGGGATAGGTTTCTCTCTCTCTCTGTCCCCCTGTCTCCTTCACTCTCTGGCAACGCACCAACACCAGGTGCTATTTTCATTGTTTCAGGAAAATGATATTGAGGGTTAAAATTTAAAATTGCTAGTCAAAGGAATATGATTTATGGTCTCTCATCTCCTGTTTTTTTTTCTCTTCTTATTTATTTAGTTGTAAAATAAACAAAGGAAATAAAGAGTTTGAAAATGATAAGTTCTGGGTGAATGTCTGCTTTAGACATCAAATAAATTTTGTAAAATAAGATAAGTTTTTTTTTTCGGGGAAATATTAAGTTTTACATTTTGTTTTAGGATAATTTCTGAGAAACTGGAAGGAAGGTGCTTGTGACAATCGACATCATTTTTTTTTTCTGCTACCCACTCCTACATTGAGAGATCCTGCGACGATTGCGATCAATTTCTGCTACCTATTCCCATACTGAGAGATCCTGCTCGTCTTCTTTGTTTTACTCCATTCATCCGAGCAATTTGTGCTGTTTCTTCTCTTCTAACTCAAGCTACCGAGTTAAATCATTATGTACAATGACGAGAAAAGAAGTGTTGAATCTGAAGATGATACATTTTCATTTTCGGAGCAGGGACCTGCAAAGAATACACGGAAACAAAAAGTTGTTGTTTTCGTGAAGGGGAATATTGGAAGTGGGAAATCCACTCTGTTGAAAGCTTTGCAGGAATTTTCTATCTTTACCGATATACAACTGGAACCTGTTGACATATGGCAGAATTATCATGGGACGAATGTTCTCGATCTTTATTACGAAAATCCATCCAGATACGGTTTCTTTTTTCCAAGTCTCATCCAGTCCTCCATGAGAAACAGTAGGAGGAGACATGGTGATTTCTCTGTGCATGAACATTCTTTGCATATTTGCACGAAAGTGTTTTTACAGTACGCAGAAACGCAAAATTGGGGGTCGTTGTTCAGCAAAGGATACAACATGCCACTGAGTTCAGCGGCTACCACAGCTGGCTCAGTCGGTGGAGACATACCGTCGAGACATTAACGAAGGATTCATACGAAGTATATGCCAAATAGGAGAGCGAGCCGACATGCTCGCTGATCAGATGGTCCCCTGCGACTATGTAGGGTTTGATTCCTCCATCAGCAGTGTGCAGAACGGCCCTTTCCGCGATGACTTCACAGCGTTAGCTAAGTTGTGTATGTGTATCCCGAAAAGTCGGGTTGGATCTGATGCGAAGGCTTTGATATCAGGTTCAACGCCCGTGTTGAAGACAGTTAACGCGTTGCAAAATTTTGTAAACAAGCGCTCCGGCCGATGATATGGTAGCTTGAATCGAACGATTTACCCTTCGTAAGGTATTGCGATCAGACCATAATATCTCTCTGATACCGCCAGATCCCAACTACAGATACGGCCGGCATCCTCACCCTTCTTTACTGCCCTACATCATGTCCACCCTGCCGAGATGGAACACGAACTCTGAGTTATTCCATGTCCTTCGTCAGCCAGGAGGTGAAGCTTAACGACGTGAATGTCACAATCATCTCGCGAAACATGTCACTAAGCACTAACTAGAGTGAAGGTGTGGGGCTCTTTCGTGCTATGAACCAGACCGATAGCAATTTCAAAGATTTCCAGACACCAGTGGAATGTAAGCGATTAAAAGATCTCTGTCCAGATTAAATTTTCCGTTTGCTTCCAAATAAACTAATTCAGATTCAATTTTCCGTATGTTTCCAAATAAATCAACTAAGCAAACTAAATCCTTGAAGTAAAAAAGTAGGTAGAAAATGCGGGAACCTAGGTCCGGCTGAGCCAACGAAGTATGGAGCGCGGGCTCAGCCGTACATATGTTCCCTCATTTTCTATTTCAAGAGATAGAAGTGTGAGGTGGGGGACCCATAGTACGGTTGGACAAGACACATGACGTAAATGCAAACTGCACACGAGTCTCGATGAATAGGTAATGATGAAGTCAATTATGCTTACACCGACTAAGTTGGTGGGTAAGCAAAATACAGAGCTTGCAAGACAAGCAGGTCGAAAGGTGCTGGATAATGTAAAGGCACTGCACTGCTGCTGCTTATCGACATGCAAAAATAATGGGTGATATCAGAACACGCGACGTGAACAAAAATTGCTAAAATGTGAGGCAAGCAAGAGTGACCGAGCATTGCTCTTGAGTGTAAACTTGAAAAAATTAGTGGAAATAGCTGATCTAAATGACTAAAATGACTAGGTCAAACATGAGGGGCCAAAAGGTTGGGTGAAACGGGGAGTTTGCACAATACCCAGACTAATGAATAGTAGACACAAATTATGCTGATCATGAACATTACTGGTAAAAAATAAAGACACTATTTTATGAAAATGCATATAAATTGAATTCAAAAATAAGTGGAACTTTCAAACGAGCTAGTGAAGTGCATCAATTTTTTCAACAGTGATTCATCAACGGTGATTCATCGACAGCTCCAATCAAGGTACCTACCTAAAAAATGAATTCTTCCCGATACATTTCTATTGAAGGAGGCATTTCCGCAGGAAAATCGACACTCCTGAAAAATCTAGTTGATTTACTCGAAAAATTCCATCCTGAAGAAGCTGAGATAGTACCCGAGCCGCTTAAGTTATGGACCAATTATCGTGGCTACAATACGTTAGGACTATATTATAGTAACCCAGCTCAGTACAGTTTTCAATTTCAAAATGTTGTGTTACAGACTTTAGCAAAGTCACAAAAAGATAAAATAACCCCATATGTTATCAGAGAAAGAAGTTTCGATAGTAGTATTAATATATTTGCGAGAAGTGCTTTGAATAAAGGTCATCTATCCAATAGCGAGTTTCAAATTCTTTCAGGTTTGAAGGAGCTAATGTGTGAGGAATTCAAACTTAAAACTGATCGAATTATATACCTAAAAATTGACCCTAAAGTCTGCTTTGAAACTACTTACTAAACATTTGCTTCTGTCTTTGGCTAAAAAAAACTTATTCTTCGGTTCCCTGCCGTCACGGTTTCCACAGAAACTTGGATCTAGCAATTTGTTCCCCAAATAAACTGCTCACTTCAATTGCTGGTGTGGGTAACTCTAATTCTTCAGCACAGCACTGAGAAATATAGGGAGTAAACTTAGGGTAGTTAAGACTTACCACCAACTGGTCAAAAATACATACAGGGTGATCCAAAAGTCCCTTCCACCCCCTCTAACTTTTTACCTAATTGAGGTAAAGATTTGAAACTTGGGAGATATTCCTAGGTCAAAGGGAGCTACTTTTTGGCCCCCCTAAAATTTTCAGGGGGGCCCCCCTTGGGGGGGCAACGGCCCCCAACTTTTAATTTTCAAATGGGAAGACCCCCTTTGTGATAGCTCGTTCGAAAGAGCATAAAAAAAGAAAACTTTTCGCGCAAACCCGAAGTCAATATCTCAAACCGTTTCAAAATGGCGGCCGGTTAAAGTTCAAAATGGCCGAAAATTCACACCGGTTATTTGTCGATGGATTTGCGCGAAAATCGGTATGTAGGGGTATTTTGACACGAGAAAAACGAATTTGACGTTAGATTTTCAAAAAAACCAAAATTTCAAAAATGGCCACCGGTTAAAGTTTAAAATGGCCGAAAATTGTCACCTCGGTTTTTTGCTGATGGATTTGCCTAAAACTTGGAATTTGAGAGTATTTTGGCATAAGATAAACAAATTTGAACTTACATTTCTAAAAAGATCAATTTTTTGTCATTTTGAACTTTAACCGGCGGCCATTTTGGAAATTTCGGTTTTTTTGAAAATCTAACGTCAAATTCGTTTTTCTCGTGTCAAAATACCCCTACATACCGATTTTCGCGCAAATCCATCGACAAATAACCGGTGTGAATTTTCGGCCATTTTGAACTTTAACCGGCCGCCATTTTGAAACGGTTTGAGATATTGACTTCGGGTTTGCGCGAAAAGTTTTCTTTTTTTATGCTCTTTCGAACGAGCTATCACAAAGGGGGTCTTCCCATTTGAAAATTTAAAGTTGGGGGCCGTTGCCCCCCCAAGGGGGCCCCCCTAAAATTTTAGGGGGGCCAAAAAGTAGCTCCCTTTGACCTAGGAATATCCCCCAAGTTTCAAATCTTTACCTCAATTAGGTAAAAAGTTAGAGGGGGTGGAAGGGACTTTTGGATCACCCTGTATACCTAGTTTGATATGTGAAGCACTCTTGTTTTCATTCAGCTTATGAAGTACAAGCACCGTACTCTGGAGACATTGTTTCCTCTTGGAATACTCTGAATGACACCTGTACAATTCATCTAAAACAGAGAAGAAAATATTCATCATTGGTAACTGACTAGAAACTGATGCATGAATTAATTCATTGTACCTAAGAAGACTAACTGCATGGAAAGCCTGCTGACCAACACTAACAATGAGATCATCACACATAGAGGGAGTTTTAAAAAAAACGGTTTTAAAAGCGCAAACTCTAAGATCAGTTGCCTTTCTCCTTTCCTTTTTTAAGTACCCCTCACTGGAAAAAAAAAACACATTGAATCTAGAGTCCAGACTCTTGAAAACATTGACAAGAAAAAATACTCTTGATTCAATCGGATTTTTGCTTGAATCAAAACGGAACCCGCTTAAATTAAGAGGCTTGGTTCTTGATTTCTAGATTCTGATTGAATCAAGAGTACTTTTTCTTGTCGCTGTTTTTAAGAGTCTGGACTGTAGATCCAATGTGTTTTTTTTTTTCCAGTGCTTCATAAATAATCCCACATTTACAGTGAAAGCCCCTCCCTCCAGTCTCCGATGCTGTTCGTAGAGCTAGTGCTACAACTACTACACCACTGTAAGCCAACAAGAAAAAAAAAACCAGAGGTGAGTGCGTAGGAAAGCGTTGAAGCCGCCGCAATGAGCGCATTGTACAGCAAAGTGACATCGTTTGAAACCATATTTAACACTGACCGACTGACGTTTCGGTCCATGTTGCTAGAGTTGTGTATAAAGTATCCCGTTGAGTTAAGAATACTGCGCGTTCTTGCAGTTCAAAACTCAAGCCTAAGTAATGCAGTTTAAGTGTATTTTTAAGTAGCAAGTAGCAAGTAGCAATCCACAACATCAGATTCAATTACTAGTGGATGGCATTTTCCCCAACAGAAGAGAGGTACGCAATATCTCCCCCAAAATTCATCGAATCCTCCGAAATTACAAGCTTTTTAACTCAGTATCGCGGTACTTACGCGATTCTACATAAAAATTCAGCAATTACTCGATAATCGCAGCGATATCGTGGCAATGCAATACTTTGAAAGGTTATTAAAAATGACGCGTCGTTTACCTCGATATCAAGGCGAAAACGCACATTTTTCATCGGTTCATTGAAATCACAAAAATTCAACTAAAATTTTACCCCATCGCCAAAATGACGCGTTATTCGTGTTGATGCGAGTTAAATAGTCATTAACATCCGTAACTTGAGATAGGCTAAAAGCTATAAATTTCCTTCAATTTCGCGTGATACCACAGAACTACACCGGAGTTCGAATAGTTATTGCTCACTTAGATTCCACCTCTTGAAAAAGGAGAAATTACGAGAATTTCATTTCAAAATCGCAGGAGGTATGCTATATCTCCTCTGAATTCACCGAATCCTCGCAAGTTACCAGCATTCTTCTCGGTTCCTCGGTGAATACGCGATCTTTCATTTATTTTACATAAAAATTCAAACAGTACGCGATAATCGCAGCGACATCGCGGCAAAAGAGCTGTTTTGAAAAGTCATTGTAAATTACGCGTAGTTTACCTCATTATCGCGGCGAAAACGCACATTTTTCAGCGGTCATTGAAATCACAAAATATCGACAAAATGTTCACTTTATTGCCGAAATTACGCGATTTTCGTATCGATGCGAGCTTATCATTCAATGACATCTGTAACTCCAGATAGGCAAAAATCTGTAAATTTCCTTCAATTTCGCTTGGTACCACAATATTGCACGGGAGTTCGAACAGTTGCTCTTTAGGATTCCACTCCTTAAAAATGAGATATTACGCGAAATACAC